GTAGTAAATGTTGTAGAAATTTTAAAGATACAAACAATGAATATTCCTAGCTAGGAGATTGAAAATATATCAAATAAGCATTGATCTGGTTTGATTACCTATTTTTTTAAACATAAAAATTAATTTTATTTCTTAACCAATTTCTTGGTTACATTTATTTTTTTTTAAGTTATTTCTTTATTCTCTCAATTAATTCGGATTTTTCAATTAATTATGTTAATTTTTACAGCCACCAGTGCTGGATGCTCTTGATGCATTCATCTTTCAACGCGTTTACATGGACAGACAGCAAAAAGAGTTGGCCGGTGAAACGGTTGATGTGGAAGAGATACGAAAAAAGTACCCGGCGCAACTGCTTCGTCGATTGTATGGTTTTTTTCTTCTCGGTTGTTTGGATTAACTTTATGTATTTTGGTACCATTGATGCTTAATCAACATATACGAAACTAACGGGTCTTAATAAATGAAATTTTTTTGGAATATTGTTAATTTGTGGTGTGATTTCAGTGTGTGATTTTCCGACCCGTACCTAGATTCAGTAATTGGCATTGCAGTAATTGGCGTACTGCGTTCGATTTTTGTTTACAGCTAAGGGATGAAACACGGAGTGTATAGCAACTTGCTTTTTTCAAATGCTGATGGCGCATAGTTGAGAGGATGATGCAAGTAACTTGGAGAAATAGTAGAACAGAAAGATTGGTCTTAAATGTCATGTGTCGGAGGACATTTTACGATGTGGTCTCTGTGTTTCATCCCTTAGCTGCAAACACAGACCGAGCAGTGTATACGGAAATCATCAGTACAGCCTCCTACTTAAAATTTTGAGATCGTTTAGCTTTGTGGAAGGGCTATAACGGTATATTTTTTCAGTGAAATATTCTTCAAAGGAAGTGCACTGAATAAGCCGCTGGCAATACGTGAAGTGAAAGCGGCTCATGTTGGCAAGCTGGTTACAGTGACTGGTATTGTTATCCGTGCTACTGAAGTGAAGCCGCTTGCATCGGTCATGACCTACACGTGTGACACGTGTGGTTGCGAAACCTATCAACCAGTAAGTAGCAATTTTTTTTTTGCATTTCAGCGTGATACCTTTCAAGAACATGTTGATTTTTTGGATCCTTTCCTCCCTACTTTTTACTGGTTTTCAGATCATTGGTGTACGTAGGTATTCGTTTTAAAATTTTACTCTCCATACGTGAATGATAACTTTTTCACAGTTTCTTTAGCCAATATTGCATCAGTGCCTAGTAGTCAGCATACCGTCAATCTTAATTTTCGTTTTGTCCCCCAGAAAGTTCAGTTTCGCAGCTTATCCGGTAAGCGAAATCCCCTCTTCGCTACAAACATCTTTAACGCGCCTTTCCAACTGGAGCAGTTGATCTCCATCATATTTTATAAATGAAATCAATATTTGTAAGAGAAAAAAAAAAACTCTAGAATATTGTGAAGATTGAATACTGATCGCGAATTGAAATTTCAGATTGAAGGGCCACAGTTTCTGCCAGCTTTCAGTTGT